AGAGTAATGATGCTTTAGTGGATGTCACCTGCCTGGCTGGACACTGAGGACAGTGGGGCCAACGCCTGAGGGATTCTCCGGGAGAATCCAAAATGTGAGGAAGGCCTGTGTGTTTGGTGGCGTGGTCATCTTTAGCTTGCGTACATGGGGGCCATGTTGGGATGCTCCCAAGAACTTGCAAAGGGGAAAACAAGCTTGCCTTCTTTTTTCTGTGCAAGATCAACACATGCTAGGAGTCAAGTTCTCGGCACAAGGGTCTAATTCGTTCCTAGGCCTGCAGGTTTTGATGGTGATCCCACTGGCAGATTAAATGTCAGTTTGAATTTGGAGATGGAGATGGTCTGGAAAAGAGTGAATCATGGAGTTAAAAAACTGGCAGTACTCTTCTTAGCTCTTTGGAGGGGAGGAGACGTGTTGGCTGGCAGATTTGGTATCCTGGCCCCATTGCCAAGGTATCTGACAGGCTGTGAAGTTTTCGGTCCTACAGTGCATTGGCCCCTGTTGTGGAGTGGAGCGCGTCAAGCCGTGCTGGCCGAACGCCATTTGGCTCATGTCATCTAGCTACCAGTAGGTTGCTTCATGCGCTCACCAGACACCATCACTTGGTCATTGGACTTTCTACAGAGGCCAACAGGGGGAGAGTTCTACTGATCGTGGGACTGCAATTACCCTAGTTCCTATGGCAATTATTTCTCGTCTTAAATTTACTAGTTGTCATTTTGAATTTATGCGTCAGTCTTACAGGCTTGGATAACCTGTGTCTACATCGAAGACAAAGATCTGTTTTTGATATATTGTTAAATGTTTTTTGCTCCTCTGTTAGTTCTTCAGATACTGAGTGCTTACTCTAAGCCAGAGGTATACTATTTCGATAACTCTCAGTGAAACAGGGGGAGCAGGTGAAATAACAATTACAGAGTAAGGAGTGATACCTAACTCCTCAGCTGAGAATACCCAGTTATGTAAAGTAAGTACAACTTGAGAATATCAGTTCAGAGCAGAGTGGAGAGCTGGTTTTCTTGAGGCTCTTTGTCTCCAAGGTACCATCGACTCTACACTATGGTCTTTGCGCTGTCTTCAGGGAAAATCTAATGAACAATTTTTAAAACTTTTAATATTGCTATGCCTCTATTTGGTAATCCGTAACTTGGTCTGTTCCGGCTGCTATAACACAATACCATAGACTAGCTAGTTTGTGAATAACAAATTTATTTCTCACAATTCTGGAGGCTGTATGGGGTTGTGTGTGTTAGTCATTCCATCGTGTCTGACTCGCTGGGATCCCAGGGAGCGACCAGGCTCCCCTGTCCCTGGAATTCTGCAGACAAGAATACTGGAGTGGGCTGTCATTTCCTACTTCAGAGGATCTTCCCGACCCTGGGATCGAACCTGGATCTCCTGCACTGCAGGCAAATTTTCTACCCTCTGAGCCAGTAGGGAAGCCCTTTATGGAGGCTAGGAAATCCAAAATCAAGGCACTAGCAGATCTGGTGTCTGGTGAGGGCCCACCTCCTGGTTAATACAGGACCATCTTCTTGCTATGTCCTCACAAGTGGAGGGGGTAAGGGTTCTCTCTGGGCTTCTTTTAAAAAGGGAACTTTTAACTTCTCTTTTTATGGTCCCACCATCATCTTGAAAAAGTTTCTCCTCCTGATAACATCACATCCAGGGTTAGTGTTTTAAACTATGAGTTTTTGGAGAAGACAATCCCTTTATGAAATTTTGATTGTATACACTAAGGAGGAAAACCCACTGCGTTTAAAACGTGGCATCAGTTCAGGTCAGTTCAGTTCAGTCGCTCAGTCGTGTCCGACTCTTTGCGACCTCATGAATCGCAGCACGCCAGGCCTCCCTGTCCATCACCAGCTCCCGGAGTTTACTCAAACTCATGTCCATCGAGTCAGTGATGCCATCCGGCCATCTCATCCTCTGCCGTCCCCTTCTCCTCCTGCCCCCAATCCCTCCCAGCATCAGGGTCTTTTCCAATGAGTCAACTCTTTGCATCAGGTAGCCAAGTATTGGAGTTTCAGCTTCAGCATCAGGCCTTCCAATGAACACCCAGGACTGATCTCCTTGAGGATGGACTGGTTGGATCTCCTTGCAGTCCAGTGGACTTTCAAGAGTCTTCTCCAACACCACAGTTCAAAACCATCAATTTTTCTGTGCTTAGCTTTCTTTATAGTCCAACTGTCACATCCATACATGACCACTGGAAAAACCATAGCCTTGACTAGATGGATCTTTGTTGACAAAGTAATGTCTCTGCTTTTTAATATGCTGTCTAGGTTGGTCATAACTTTCCTTCCAAGGAGTAAGCGTCTTTTAATTTCATGGCTGCAGTCACCATCTGCAGTGATTTTGGAGTCCAAAAAAATAAAGTCTGACACTGTTTCCACTGTGTCCCCATCTATTTCCCATGAAGTGATGGGACCAGATGCCATGATCTTAGTTTTCTGAATGTTGAGCTTTAAGCCAACTTTTTCACTCTCATCTTTCACTTTCTTCAAGAGGCTTTTTAGTTCCTCTTCACTTTCTGCCATAAGGGTGGTGTCATCTGCATATCTAAGGTTATTGATATTTCTCCCAGCAATCTTGATTCCAGCTTGTGCTTCCTCCAGCCCAGCATTTCTCATGATGTACTCTGCATGTAAGTTAAATAAGCAGGGTGACAATATACATCCTTGACATACTCCTTTTCCTATTTGGAACCAGTCTGTTGTTCCTTGTCCAGTTCTAACTGTTGCTTCTTGACCTGCATACAGGTTTTTCAAGAGGTAGGTCAGGTGGTCTGCTATGCCCATCTCTTTCAGAATTTTCTCAGTTTATTGTGATCCACACAGTCAAAGGCTTTGGCATAGTCAATAAAGCAGAAATAGATGTTTTTCTGGAACTCTTTGGCTTTTTTGATGATCCAACAGATGTTGGCAATTTGATCTCTGGTTCCTCTGCCTTTTCTAAAATGTGGCATAGTGACTGATGATTATTAACTGTGTGACCATGGACGGGCAAAGCCACTAATGAGTCTAAAACTGCACCACGAGCATGACCGTGTCTAACTTGGAACCATGTGACCTCCAGAGTGATGAGCATACAGTGTGACTGTCACATTGTACCTCTTTATGTAGAAAGCTCTCAGGGGCTCACCGCCAACCAGAGGATGCCCCCCAACCTTCTCGACAAGCCCGAGAGGCCCTTTGGAGCCTGGCCTCCGTGCTCCTTCAGTGCCGTATCTCACCCGTCTTGTCTTCGCCTTTGGTGTACTCCTCAGCAGCTTTGCCCTGTTTGCCCTGATCTGCACACGGGACACTTTCTCACCCTCCTGGTCCCTACGCTGTGTTCCCTCCACTTTGCAGGAAGCCCCAGATGTTTTCTGGCTTCGCAGAGGAGCAAAGACTTTCCTGGTGGTTCAGACGGTAAAAGAATCTGCTTGCAATGCGGAAGACCCAGGTTCGATCCCTGAGTTGGGAAGGTCCCCTGGGGAAGGGAACTACAACCCACTCCAGTATTCTGGCCTGGAGAATCCACGGACAGAGGAACCTGGGAGCTACGGTCCGTGCGGTCACAAAGAGGGGGACACAGCTGAGCGATGAACGCTAGAGCAAGAAAGCCCGCGGCAGGCTTTCATTGCAGGGGCAGTCCGCAGCGCTTCGCTGCGGCTGGCGACTTCATCAGTGGCTGGAGAGGCGTTGACTCGCTCTCAGTGGCCACCTAACCTCTCCTTTGTCCTTCGGCTTTTATTCAGAGAACAATTATCAGGAACTTGCTGTTTGTTGGTCCTGGCGTTAGAAGATGAGTGACAAGCCAGTCCTGGCCCCGGGAGCTGCCCTCTGATAGCGGAGGCGACCCCGGGGACTGGGGGCACAGAGGCCCGTGGGGAACGCGGGGAGGCGCGCTGCCTTTAACCGAGAGCCCTTCGGAAGAGACCGCCCGTCGGCAGGGCTTTGGGGAGGAGCCGGCACGGCAGGCCAGAAAAGAGGAGAGAAGTGGGTTTTTGAGATAAAGTACTGTTGGCAACTCTTTCTAGGAAAGGAGTAAGGGACCGATTTGATTCAGTCTTATTTATTTCTCTCTAGAAAGTAAAATAAGTAGTTTAATTTTTCTCTGCTCTTCTCGAAGCGGTATGTAAAAGTGTTGTCAGCATTACAGCAAGATGTTACCCGATTGCAATTGCCTGTATCTGTTTACGTTGTTTTAGTGACTGTGGGGTGGCTGAGGATGATCTTAAGAAACTTAAAATTCATCTGTGAACATAAATTCTAATTACTGGAAAGATTAGGATGGTCATAGTGAGTTAGATCATTGTGGTGGTTATCTGTTTAAACCTTACTGTTTATCTTTTTCTCTATCTTTATCTACAAAGATAGGACAGAAACCAGAAATGCATTAAATGGTATGTTTAAAATTTGAGAATGCATTGTCATCACCTCTGTGTTGTAAGTCTTGTCTAGAACTATAAACCATTTTAGAATTTCGTGCTGTTTTGGACATGTTTATATGTAATGAAAGGAACTAAGTTGTACTCTTTCTGGGGAAGAGTACAAATTAAAAATGGATGTTACTGTTTTTGAATTGGGTCAGCTTTGACATGACTCTAAAATGCTGCCTTTTATTAATAAATGTAGTAGAAATGTTAAATGTGGAGGGGTTTTCTTTTTATTAGAACAGAAACAGCACCAATAAGGGGGAAGCATATGGGCTTTCCCAGATGGCTCAGTTGGTAAAGAATCTGCCTGCGATGCAGGAGAGCTGTGTTCGATCCCTGGGTCGGGAAGATCCCCTGGAGAAGGGAAAGGCTACCCACTCCAGTATTCTGGCCTGGAGAATTCCATGGCCTGTATAGCCCATGGGGTTGCAAAGAGTCAGACACGACTGAGCGACTTTCACTTTCATATAGCTTTTAACAGATTTTAGGCTCTAGGATAGTTAGGAAATGTAGTTTTGGTCTGGATAATACAATGAAGCATTTCTTATCAAATAAGAAGAGTCTCTCTCTCTCTAAGGTTATGAGAAGACTGATGATGTTTCGGAGAAGACGTCACTGGCTGACCAGGAGGAAATAAGGACTATATTCATCAACCAGCCCCAGCTGACAAAATTCTGCAATAACCATGTCAGGTAGGAACTACCAAAGAAGACTGGGACCGGCTACCGCAGCAGAACTTGGGAGGGCATCTCCCCAGCCCAGCCGGAATGAAAATACTTGCAAGGAGCTTTCATTAAATCAGTTTAATATTTAAGAGCTTCCTGAAGGAGTGCAGATCAGCTGTTTCTCTATCTTCTAGCCAATAAAGAGATGTTAATAAGAATCTAGAAGTAGGAAAGAGCAGAAAGGCTAAGCAGCCATATGCTGCCAATTCTTTTTATAGTATCTGAGTGATGAAAGCAGTTCATGGGGAGGTGCCTTTGTCTTAAACCTGTTAATAGACCTGTGAACTATTGTTTTTGATGAGCAGGTTTTCACCTTTCAAAAGAAGTCTTTGCAGTTCTCTTAGAACTCCTTTGTGTTAAATAGTCTTTAAATATTGACTTTTGATGCTTGAAAAATTTAGTGTGGTGTCCAGGAGCGGAGGGTGTGAGAATTGCTTCACTGTTCTATTTTCCTTCCAACAATAATGTAAAAGAAGACCTCTTAGAAGCACTATTCACTGCGTGGCCCCTGGAACCAAATGAACACCACCCCCCATCACCACCACATGTCAGCCCAGTGGTTTTCTGGTGCCAGAACTCCTAGATTTGTGAAATGACCATTTAAAATTAATTTTTACAGCTTCAAATTCTAGAGTAACTTTTCTGAGCTTGGGTTATGTGGTTAATCTTCTGTTTAATTAACAAGAGGAAGATTGGATGTCTCTGAGGCCTAAATGATGGTATCTTCCTGATTATGGACACATCTAATGTGTTTGGGCAGACGCTTTACCCTCTGAGCCACCAGGGAAGCCCAGCATATCATCCACTACCTTAACTAAAGTTGCTCTTCTTTGTAAGCCGTCGCTAGTAATGACAGCAAAGGAACTGGCCAAAGGGAAGAGAAGCGACTATGCAGAAAATCACACTCTTACTACTTAGATGATTCCTCTTCTTCCTGAGTCCCAGCTTGTCCTGCTTGCCTCGGGACAAGCCAGTAACAGAAAGACAAGTTCTTGGAAAAGGAGTAATGGCTTTATTCAGAAAATCAGCAACTGAAATGGTAGGCTCATGCCCCCACAGAGAACCATCTTGCTTGAGTTAGAATTCAGGCGGCTTTTATTGGTGGCTCAGACAGTAAAGTGTCTGCCCGCAATGCGGGAGACCCGGGTTCGATCCCTGGGTTGGGAAGATCCCCTGGAGAAGGCAATGGCACCCCACTCCAGTACTCTTGCCTAGAAAATCCCATGGATGGAGGAGCCTGGTGGGCTACAGTCCATGGGGTCACAAAGAGTTGGACATGACTGAGCGACTTTGATTTTCACTTTATTACTGAAAGATGAGGGAGTGAAGTCAGACATTTCCTGGTTCCCGTCATCCTCAGAGGGGATGTGTTCATTCCTGCAGGCATTTACAAGTGGGCGTGGTCAGGATGTTTCATGTGAGCTAAACATAGGTATTTTAGCTTAGGGCTCCTTACCTTGGAGGCAGGGTTCAAAGAGATGGGCTATTGTTCATCATTTAAGCTTGTAGGAAACATCCCTTTAGTGATTAACTTGTAATATTGTAATTGAAAACAAAAGATTCTTTCTTATTACACTTTCACTCCTTTTCATTGAGGTTTACGACCATTTGCAGTATTCTGGTTTAAAATAAAGGGCAGTTGTTCATCATCTACTTTTTTATATGATGAAAATAGGATTTCGTAAATGTGGATGCTATTTGTGGAGTAATTAAGTTTTATGCTACTTTTCATTTTTGTTTTCTAGCACTGCAAAATACAACATAATCACATTCCTTCCAAGATTTCTCTACTCTCAGTTCAGAAGAGCCGCTAATTCATTTTTTCTCTTTATTGCGCTGCTCCAGGTAAAGTCATGTTGTAAAACCTTAGCTCAGAATAATGTGTTCAGATATTAATAAATGTGTTTCTTAGGCCCATGACCAGTCTTCTGAAGCTTATCTAAATGCAGAGAGATAAGCTGGTTTGGGTGGGCATTCTGGCTCCTGCTCTAAGTCAGGTCAGAATGCTGCTGCTACCTCTTCAAGCCTTTTGACTCATTGTCATCAGCTTATTTTAGACATTTGTAAATGTAATTTGGCAAGGACTTTTCATTTTGGATGGTGAAGAGGGATAGGATTTTTTCTTAAAATAGTAGTTTATTTTAGGAACAGTAATATTGTCAGTTATGAACTTCAGAATGCAAGAGTTACTATTTTAAAGCTTTTTTTGTTTTGAACTTGGGTTAGTTGTAATCAGAAAGAAAGGTTTATTTTATTAAAAAGTACTATCTGGTCAAGTAAAAAAGAGTAAGAAAACATAGCAAAGCATAAAGAAAAAACTTGAACCTCTGTTATTTCATCACCAGGAAAATACAGCTGCTCTCTTAAAATTTGGGTGTGTATCCTTCTGGTCTTTTTTTTTTTCCTATCCCAAGCATTGTTAATTGACTTACAAAAAGGGGATCATAAAGTATATATATTTTATTATCTGCTTACCCTTACAGTAATGTGTGGATATTTTTCTGCATATAATTCATTGTATTTCTAAAATACCATTTTTAATGGTTTATGAAATTTTGTTGGCTTGGTCAAAAAGTTCGTTCAGGGTTTCCCATAAGGTGCTGTGGAAAAATCCAAACGAACTTTTTGGCCAACCTACTATTGAATGCATACGCTGTAATTTAGTTAACCAGTCACCCTTTGTAGGTGTTAGTCCTACACACAACTGCTTCCGTGAAACTAATATACTTTCTTCCAGCTGCTTACTAGATTCGAGCAAATTGCCTCACCTTGTGTTATTCCACCAAGTTGGTAAAATCAATGAAGCATATTTTAAGAAGCATTAAGACTTTGTTGTTTTCAAATGTATTATAAACTTGCTAGTTTTACTGAATTTCTCTTCCGTTTTTATTTTTTTCCTTCAAATAGCAAATACCTGATGTATCACCAACAGGTCGCTATACAACACTGGTTCCTCTCTTATTTATTTTGGCTGTGGCAGCTATCAAAGAGATAATAGAAGATATTGTAAGTACTTGTTTTTTTCATAACTGTAACACTGTTATTTTATGTACATATTTTAAAATATCAATTTCTTCCTATGTTGTTATATTCTTGATACAGGCTATTTAAAATACTTATTCATCTTAAAAGTGTTTAAAATATGCTCCCATTCCTGGAGTTCCTCTTGATTTCTATAGGATTAATATTACAGAGTGCTTATTACAGTGATACCTTAAGTTTGTGCCTTTGTGGTGAAATAAATTAATTCGAATGTAGTAATTAGCTTGGAGAGAAAACTATATTTGAACATTATTTTCAAGTATGCTCAGTTTCAACTTGAAGGTTATTTCAAGTTAAAACACCATAACCTCCAAGTTATCTGAAGGTAAAAAGTTTTTTCCATTTTTTTATTTTTCCATTTTCCATAGTTTTCACCTCATTAGACACCTTTGATTCCTTTTCATCTTTTTTTTTTTACTAGTTCTGTTTCCTTTGTTTTATTAAAGGAAAGTAACGGCAGATTTTCTATTTTTATTATTCTGTAGTAGTAAAGAAAAGAGGAAGTCAGTCGGTTTCCCCTGATAAAATAAGCTGCCCAAAATAAAAGTCTGCTCTTCTTTCTCCTCTGTTTCACCGTTATTTTAGCTGCTTTAGTTGAGGAAGCTAGTATTTTTTTTCCTATGCCCTTTAAATACATTGGCTGTCTGAAATGACCATCTGTCAAGCCTTAGGCAAGTCAGATGGTAAGATGAGGAAAGGCTGAGACATTCTTTAGAAAGCTCCAATGTAAAGTTGTACAAATATTGATATTATTTTGTAAAGAATCAAATTGGGGTCTCATGAAGAATACATGAGCTGTAGCATCGTTAAGCCAATTAGAGATGGGTCAACTGACCACTGAGATCATCAGCCTCAAAAACATCCAAGTATCTAGGAGTACAAACAGGTTGTTTGTGTGCATGCATCTGTGTATAAACCATCATAGTCTCTAGTTGAAAATGGCTAACTTACCGGGACCACTAGCTGAAAATTCATGAGACTCTTTTCTTGCCTGTATCACTCTGCGCAGACTTACACGCCTTGACTTGCACTGGGCGGTCCTTGAGAACTGGTCTTTAAAACAGTTTTGTCTTTCTTTGCCTCATGCATTCCCCTTTCTTCCTCTGTTTAGCCTAATTTTCACTGAATAACCCTTATTTGCTAGGTATTGTGCTGCTGTTTTTGCATTTTTTCATTTAATTCCTTCAGAGACTTTGAAAGTTAGATTTAAGCCTCATTTTAAAGTTCAAAAAGCCGAAGCTTAGAAAGGGTGTGTAACTTGTGCAAGAAACTGCTAAAATCTGAATTCCATCTTATCCTGTGCTCTTCCTCTGTATTGGTGTGGTGAGTCACCAACAATAATAACAACATTTGTTTAGCTTCAGGGAGATGAAGGAGACATGGGTTCAGTCCCTGAGTTGGGAAGATCTCCTGGAGGAGGGAATGCCACCCACTCCAGTATTCTTGCCTGGAGAATGCCATGGACAGAGGAGCCTGGCAGGTGATGGCCCAGGGGATCACAAAGAGCCTAGCATGACTGAACACACACTATAGACATAACAACTTCAAAAGATTACTGCTGTCATCCCCGTTTCATAGATTAGGGAGAGGAGGCAGAGAGGGGTAAGGTAGCTTGCTAAGGGTCACAGGGCTAATAACTGAGACTGTCAGAAACCAAATAAGACAATTTGGTTCCAACAAGCTCTGCCTTATAATCACTGCTATAAGCTGCTTGTCCTTTTTTTTTCCTCTTTTCTCTAGAAAAACTGCAAGTTCTCTAGCTATTGTTTCTAGTATCCCATTCTATGAAAATAAATGGTAAATAAAATGGAAGGCAAGAAATCTGTTTGCTTGTTTTTAACAGAACTCTTATTGGCATAGCGTAATAATCGGGTACTCTTGGGAAGCAGCTAACCAGGGAATTCCTGAAGGGTGTAATAATAGTTTTGTGGGCAATAAGAGCATCATGTGAACTAGCTTTTCAGTCAAAGCATTTTTAAGAAATTGACTAAAAATGTTCTGTAGGAGTGGTTTAATAAGATTATATCAACCTGTAAAGTAATAGGAAGATCGAAATGTTACTTTCTAGAGAAGGAAAAGCAATCAAATAATAGTCTAGATAGTTGAACAGAGTATCTTTATCAGTAATTATTAATACATTCATTTGTTCATTCATTCAGCAAAAATGTATGAAGCAGTGCTTAGATGCCAGGCATTCATTAGGATTTGTATTCGGATGTGTTAAACTTTTGCTGCAGTGATAAGTCATGTCCCAAATGTCAGTGTCTTTGACATAAGTTGATTTTTCCTGTACTCGAAGACACTGCAGGCTTTTGTCCAGGAGGGAGGCAGGGGGAGAAGCCCACTGTTCATGTAACCACTTAGGAATGCAGCTGAATCAGGCTCCGCTTTGGGGGCTGTCGGTGGCCACCGGAACAGAGGAAGAGGGAGAACGGAGGCCCTCACTTCTTGTACATTTTGGCCCGGAAACGGTACATATTTCATCTGCTTACAGCGCAATATTAGAATGGTATACGGCAAAAGGGATCTGTAATCTCAATGTCCATAGATATTTGTTGTTGTTCCGTTGCTAAGTCATTTTTGACTTTTGAGGCCCCATGATGGCAGCCTGCCAGGCTCCTCTGTCCATGGGATTTATCAAGCAAGAATATTTCAGTGGGTTGCCATTTCCTCTTCCAGAGGATCTTCCCAACCCAGGGATCCAGCCCACATCTCAAACCCGCGTGTTCTGCATTGCGGGTGGTTCTTTACCCCTGAGCAACCAGGTAAGCCCTGCCCATGGGGATGGAGGAGAACTAGATGTTGGGCTTCCCTGGTAGCTCAGCTGACAAAGAATTCACCTGCCATGCACGAGACCCCAGTTCAGTTCCTGGGTCCGGAAGATCCCCTGGAGAACGGAATGGCTATGCACTCCAGCATCCTTACCTGGAAAACTCCGTGGACAGAGAAGCCTGGCAGGCTGCAGTTCATGGGTTCCCAAGGAGTTGGCAATGACTGGCAGTTAACACTTTCGGTAATAGTTGGTATGAAAACAAAGTATCTTAGATTAAGTGGCGTTGTAAAGATAAAGAAATAGGGAAAAATGAATTCAATATATGTTTAAGAATAAAATTGACAAGATATTACCATCTGACATTCTACATATCGTACTTGTTTTATTACTGCTTTATCTCCAACCACTAGTGTGTAAGTTCCCTGAGAGCAAGAGTTTTTGTCTTTCGTTCACTGCCGTATCAGCAGTAGTAACGGGATCTGACACAATGCTTTGCCAGCATTTATTGAATGAAGAATTAGATTGCATGGGAGTGAAAGGAGAGAAGGTACTTACGAATCTCAAGTTCCTGGTTTGCGTAAGTGGCTGCTATATGGTTCCATGTCTGAGACAAGTACCAAGTCTTGGGGGATAAAATCAGAGATTGCCCTTCAGACATAGTTTGAGATGCATTTAAGACTACCAGAGGAAACTGTCAAGGAGGCCACTGAATGTAACCTTCTGGAGCTCAGATGAAGAGTCTTGACCAGTATGTTTGATAATGATTATCACTGAAATTATAGTTATGAAGGAGCTAAGAGAATGTGAGTGAGAAGCAGAGAAGGCAGGGCGTAAGCCTTGAGGAAATCCATCACTGAGAGCTAAAGAAGGGGCCAAGGGTCAAGTAGAACCCCTGGGCTTGCTGTCTTAGGACATGCCTTGTGAAGGAAGGGTTCCCAGAACGAAGGGGTGGTCAGCACTGCGAACTTAAGTACCGTAAAGTTCATGACACTGTCAATCAAATATTAATAATATTAAATCATTCACTAGTTCTCAGCAATAGTAAATGAATTCTGATTACAATTCAATAGAGGTATGTTAATTTAAGGAAAGTTATATACATTTCTTCCAAACTATATAAGTTTTAAAAGGAATAAGGATCTTCTTTGGAAACAAAGATGCTTTCCTTTTGTAGTAATAAGATTAGAATCTATCTGGGTTGGATCCTTATGTATATTCAACACAACTATGTCTTGACAATTAACCTAATTTATTGTGTGGCGGGAAGGTTGAGGAAAGAGAGGCTCATGTATAAGAATTCTCTGCAGATGGAAAGTAATATTCAGGATCTCCTTAAGTTTCACTAAGATTAAATTTCCAGTTTAAGTAGAATGTTTCATTAATTAGCTTTTATTTGTCTCCCTCAGTTGGAAATCTAACCCTTGTCTGTCATATATGTGCATTGTTTTGAAAATATTTGCACCACCTTCAAATATCTCAATTTCCCTTAGACTATTATTTTGGACTAAAATTTACTTGGGGTTGCTTCCTAATTTTCGAAAATATTTTTTAACAACAACTAAAAAAAAGTAAGTATTTTAGAGTTTTATCAAGCATAAAATATTCTCCACTGATGCTGTAAACTTAACAGAACTTTAAAAATTTGAGAACCTTTGCTGTCAAATCATGTGCTTACTTTTGGAAGCAATAATCTGTCTATTTAAAGTCTGCATCATGACACTTATTAGCAAGTGTTTTATTATGGGAGAGAACTGTAGTGTGTTCCCACATGTGGATGTGGCAAGAGTCGTTCTCAGCAAGCCTCCGCAGAGGCGTTCTGAATGCCCAGTTTGCATTTTGCGCAGCTCAGTGGCCGATTGTTTGGATGAACTGAGCTCACACTGCAGCTATTATGCTGCCCCTCGTGAGCATTGCCGGGTCCAGGAGTGCTCATCTACAGGCCCAGGCTTTTGTCTGGAAAAATGTTTTCATTTGTGTCCCGTGAGTCCAAAACTCATGTTTCTTCTCAACTTCAGAACTCATTAGTTTTGCATTCATGCCAGCCCACCTTGTGATCAAATATGTGTAGCTAAGCCTGACTGTTGGGCTTTATATGATAGAATCTGAGCTCAGCGTCAGTTACGCTTAACATTTCTGCAGCGTCAGCGGAGGCTGAAAGTTTAGACAGACGCCCTGGAAAACCTCCCTTTGGACCTAGAGAAGGTAGCCTCCCTGACCACCCAGGTTCTCACCTTTCCTCCGACCTTCCCTTCCTCTTACTGCCGTCCAGTCTTGGCTTCGGTGGCCCTTCAGATTCACCCACCTAGATGTAGACTAACTCGCTCGTTTAATCCTCAATTTTTTCATGCTTTGGGAGGAAAGAAAATGAGATTCAGTAACTTCTGAAGGTGGGGGGCGCTGTTGGGGAGCAGTGGGTAGAAAAGCAGTGTTGTGCAAGTGATAGATGGTTCTCCTCGTTGACAGACAGTGGCACGTCATTAAATTATAGGGGATGTGCTCAGCCTAATTAGATAATGAATTTCCTAAGAAACTGAAAATATTTTGGTGTCATTGTTCAATGGTAGTTATTACGGATAATTCTCTTGGGCAATCTTCCTTTTAAGTAAGTTATTTAAGCAAAAGTCTAAATCAGTCCTTCAGCTCTGTCTTTTCTAATACATTAAAATTTTAATCTTGCCTGTTCAATAATGCCTGTAGACATTAGATGGGCCTATAGATGAGCACTCCTAGACCCAGCAATGCTCACAAGGAGCAGCATAGTAGCTGGTAGTGTGAGCTACCAAAAGACCTCAAAAAAAAAAAAAAAAACCTCAAAAAGGTCTTTTTGAGGCCACACACCTGTACTCCTAGAAAGGTAATAAAGATGCTATGGATTGCACTTTCAATTTTAAAGTCCCCACATACTCTAATTGTTCCCATCGCCATACTCTGGGCTTACTTATAAAATTGATATGGGTGTGAAAGGATAAAAGCCTTGAGAAACGTAAGTTTAAAGGAAAAAAAAATCTGACTTTTGTTACAGGTGCTATCTTGTTTTGCTAATCTCATCCACTTTTTCACAGTTTTTGTTTTTGCTTTTAAACTTTAGAAACGACATAAAGCTGATAATGCGGTGAACAGGAAACAGACTCAAGGTAGGAATTTTACATTTTGTTTCTCATATCTGTCAAAAACCCTCACGATAATCTCTACAAATCACTTCAATTAAGTATAATTCAACTGAGAACACTGTGTATCTCTCAAGTTTTGTTTTGTAGTGTTCATTAGCATGACTCTTAAATCCACATTAGAGTGATTTACAGGGGTAATGTAATATTTTTGAAAAGTTTTTAATAATATTTAAGTACCTCATAGCAATGTACTCACAAGTACTGTCCATAAAATCTGCAGTTGTTTTATCGGTGTTAAATGCTACAAAATGTGTGTGTGTGTGTGTGTGTGTGTGTGACAAAGATCTATAGATGTTACACTGGATAAGATTTATAGAAAACAGTCAGGTGTGATGTTACTTGGCTAAAAGGCATATTGGAAGCCCTTTGAGTTATCCTGTACCTGCAGGTGATAAATGCTTCAGAAATAAGTAGAACCAAGCCAGCTTCTGGGAAGCACATGGCATACTGATGTGGCTCTGTACTGTGGATCTCATTTTGATGGAGTCGAAACTCGGATGACCTTTAACACAAGCAAATAGATCACTGTTACTTTCAATTAAAAAAAAATACCCAGAGACATATGAAACAGACATCCTACCCCATCCCTGAGCTTTCCCCACCTGAGAATATCATCTCTCTCTGAAGTTCCCTGGTGTGGTGAGGGTCAGCCATGTCTGCCAAAATTAGCTGGTAATTAAAAATGGGATTTTTATACAGCTGTGATTTTTGTGGATTCTGTCAAAATGCCTCATTTCTCTTCTCACCACCTTCTACCAAAGGAATTATCTGCTGACAGTTGATGCATTCAAAGGTGGTATGTTTATTAAAGCATTACCTAAGAAATTAAACTTTTGTGGAGATTATACTTATTATCGGACATGTGAAAAAGTATAAGATGGGAGCTCTGTAAAGGTGAAAAATGATCTTGTGTGGAAAGTGAAAGGTTCACATTACGTGATCCCTAGATTTTTGTAACAAATAATGATTTCTGTGTCAAATGCTTTACGGATTCAAAAGCAGGAGAGAGAATTGTGGGGTAACTTGAGCTAGATCTTGAATTTGGGGAAAAGTATGGACAAACAGAGGCGCTTGGGACGGTCGTTGCCTGTTATGCTGAGTGAGGAAGGAAGAAGAGAGGTTTTCTGAATAGAGGTGAAGACAGCCGTCGGATTGCTTTGTGGAACCGCTGCTGAAGTGCCAGATGGAGAAAGAACATTCATGGCGAAGGGAAGCAGAGACATGATCAGAAAGGTTGTTGTTGCTGGTCAGTCATTAAATCCTGTCTGATTCTCAGTGACCCCACGGACTGTAGCATGCTCGGCTCCCCTGTCCTCCACTGTCTCCTGGAGTTTGCTCAAAATGCACGTCCATGGAGTCGGTGATGCTGTCTAACCATCTCAGCCTCTGCCATCCCCTTCTCCTCTTCCCTGCAGCCTTTCTAATCATCAGGGTCTTTTCCAGTGAGTTGGCTCTTCTCATCAGGCGGCCAAAGGACTGAGAATGGCAGGTTAAATTTTACAGGGCCTTGAGTGCCAAGCCAGGGGATTCCAGCATTTCTTACATATCCTGAGTAGTTGGAGAAAGTTTACAAGCCCAGAAGAGAAAAGACAAATATGCAGATTAAAGTTGGAGAGCAGAATGTCATTCAGTAGGGGGCACATGGGCACTAAACTCCAGGAGTTTAGTCAGAAAAGGACAGCCATTGGTATTGAAAAAGGGGAAAAGCTCAAATGTTTCAGGTACGGGTGTTTTTCGCAATGTGCAGTTTTTGCATTTGTTGTCATGTTGCTCAGAAAGTTCAGCAACAGCTTTTAAACCAGAAATGTTTACCTGTTTTTTCCAGTGCATGATGTATCCTATGGCAGAGGGGTCATAATCTCAGGGACTAGCAGTGAATTACTTTCAAGCCTTGGCTCAAGAATTCAACGTCGTACAGTTGGCGGGTAGCCTACACAGCTGCCGCTTTAGGCCGCCGCACCCTGTACTGATCAGGCCTCTGCTTGGCCAGGCACCTGCCTGCTACCAAAAACTTCCCTTTTGCATGCTAATCAGGAAGAATATTCTGTTTTAGTTATCATTCTTGGTTCACCTATTCATTCTGGATTAACAGGATTAACTCTGTAGGTTCAAAGTGAGAGGAAAGCTTCTATAGCAGCCTCTCATGTCAAAAAGAAAATATTAAGGCTTACATACGGGCCTCCCAGGCGATGCTAGTGGTAAAGAACCCGCCTGCAGTGCAGGAGACATAAGAGACGTGGGTTTGATCCCTGGGTCAGGAAGAGTCCCTTGGAGTAGGGCCTGGCAACTCACTCCAGTATTCTTGCCTGGAGAATGGACAGAGGAGCCTCGCAGGCTACAGTCCATAGGATTGCAAAGAGTCAGACACAGCTGAAGCGACTTAGCATGTGCTCAGGGCTTACATATAAAAACCATTTTAAGTCAGCAGACTACTTGGAAAGCCCATATCCAAGAAATTATGGTCTTTAATTTGATACTTGAATATTTTCTAAGAGAACTGTATCCTTTTTTTCCCTTTGCCCAGTTTGAATATTGGTCATCTTTGATTTTGCAATTGATCAGAGTTAACAGAAATGTCTGAGTAGGATACCACTTGCTGTCAGAGGACTCAAATTACTTTATATGAAAGCCGTCTGTTATTAGGCCAGACTGAAATTCGATTTGGTTTCCTGAGTTGAAAGGCAGGAATGGATGTAGGAGTAGGAAGGGAGATAATTTTTGACAGACATTTGAAGTATTTAACTTAAATTTCATTTTCTCAGTGTTTACTAAGACCATGTAATGCATAAGAGGACATCTTTCCCTCACATTCGAGGATTAATCTTTATGTATTCTTAGCAAAATAAATATGTCCTCTCCTTATTTTGCATTGAGGCAACAGAGGTGACTGTTTCCCTCTGACTATTCCCTAGTGACTTCAGAAACACAAACCCATGATTTCATTTATGACATTTTCAGCCATTTAACTGTGGACTGGTACCTGTCTGATGCCTCATTTTCAGCAGTGAATGAACTCAAGCAGGGGTTAAATTCTGGATTCTGCAGAGGGCAGGTCTTCTTCACCTTTGTGTCCCCACGTCTCTAGCCCAGGGGCCCATCCTTAGCAGGGGCTTTGTGTGAGTGAAGGAACCACTCTCTCTTTAGATACTTCAGTACGGATAAAGAAGCAAGAAGAGACTGGGAATGAAGGGAGCCTCCTTGAAAATTCATTATTTCGGCTGTGAGCAAAGTGGAAAGCTGTATTTTCAAAACGCTGTCTCCCAGACTGTTTTGCAGGCACTGATGAAAAACTGCTCTGGTGGAAGTTCTTGCTGTCTCTTTACTTGGTCTGTTGAAGTCATTATGTCATTATTTTACTCTGCTCAGCCTCCTGTGAACACAGTACTGTTTCCACTTATCCCTTCCATTGCCCAAAGCCCCAGAGCACTGCCGTATTCGGGATGCCCCAGTTTCCCTAACATCTACACTTACCTTTGTTTTCTCTGATTTCTTCCTCGGTATTTGAACTCACAGTACTTGATGTACCCTATTGCATGTGTTTACGTACACTTGGGAGCCAGTGTCTCATTGCAGCTCCTTAATTGGATTTTCTTGGCCAAGCTTAGTGCTGCAGAAATTTGTAAATGATACATTTGTAATAATCGTCATAATATGTATATTGAAACCAGTCCCCATATGAATTTGCTCTGGTGGTTGAGCCAGTTCTCTTTTTTTTAAACTGTAAACATATGCTTTTATTTTTTGTGGGAAACGACTATAGCTGGCATGCCAATATTTCAAATGGAATGACAGTTTCACATAAAATCACAATAAAGAGGCCTGGGAAGGGATGGAGATCTAAAAAATTAAAATGAAATAAGCTTCTTAAGGAAGTAGATTTGCTTTTTTAAAATCCCAGGTTTGGACATCTTCCCTGAAGGATGGTATGCTTACATTCTGCAGGCGAGACTGTCTGGGAGACGCCGGTGACGTCTGGTGTCAGCCTGTCAGTCACCTGGTTGGATGCAGCTGTTGAATCCGGGTCACCATTACTACCGTCAGTCTGTTTTCAGACCTCATTTTATTAGTAGCTGTTGGATTAGAATAAATCTTTAATAAAGCAGTTTTGCTTTATTTTAATTTAATGGAGAAAAAGACAACAGGAATTCCTTTTTCACTAGGCACACAGCTAAAAATAATAGATCTCATCTCCAGCTGCTTCATCCTTCCCTGGAGCCACATCTGCCTCTTCAGAAGTGGAGTTGAGCAGGTGGCAGCTGATAACCCCTAGCAGGCTACGTCCCTGCAGGGCACATAGCTGCTCATCTCCTCCTGGAAGCTATTTCATCTTTAAAGTCCTTTATGAAAAAGACATTGAGTTGGTGTGGGTTGATTTTGTTTTAGGTTGTTAAGGCTGTGGTGACCTACTACCAGGGCTAAATCCATCTGGTTGAGTTCCACTTCGTGCTGAGGGATTTAAAATAGCACCATTTTCCTGGCTTATTGAGAAAGCCAGTGTGCAGTTTTTTGTCCCGCTGTAGGCATCTGCATGTCTCATCCATGTGTACATAAGTTACCTATAAATAGTTCACAGATGATATTATTTCAATGAGCTTAAAATTCAGACTTAAAACTTGAGCACTATTTTCCAAAGAATGTTTTCAGATACCTCTAAGGTTATTAATATCTTCAAATTAAAATTTAAACATTTTAGGATTTTATAAATTGAACTTGTTAGGTATTTTCAACAGAAGTTCTGGTTGAAAAGGATGTGTTTATTTGGGGGGAAGTACAGCCCTAGATTGGCTTTCATTTGTCCCAGAAATAAAAGTTGCACACCAAGAAACAAAAAAGCCCCTGAGGAAATTTAGGGCCATAGATAAAGTGAAAGGAGAAAAACAGGTGTGATTCCAGGTTAGAACATTTATTATTTCACGTCAGTAAGTCTCACTGAACATCTACCTTGAGTAAGACCCAGTGCAGAA